CGTATGTATTTACATATATATATATATATATATATATATATATATATATATATATATATATATATATATATATATGTGTGTGTGTGTGTGTGTGTGTGTGTGTGTGTGTGTGTGTGTGTGTGTGTGTGTGTGTGTGTGTGTGTGTGTGTGTGTGTGTGTGTGTGGCCTTATGCCACAGGAGCGAAAGAAAGACACGCCTGAACGATAACCGATGCCAGCCAGGAACGTGAGCCGTGGCTTCACGTGCCACGGCCTCGCGCCTTCTTTATTTTCCTCTGTCGCCATCGCGCGCTCTCCGGTTTGCGCGCCACCCGAACGAGGGTGCTACAGGGCCCCCCCGTGTAGACTGGAAGTCGGATTGTGACATGCCATTTGTGGTATTCCAACGGAAGATCAGTCGTAGATGAGAGGCTTTCTATGGCGGTCTCCAGGTACGCCGGCTTGAGTCGGTCCAAGCTGACTGTCTCTTCACGGCCGTTCTGAAGTAGAGTGGCAGTTTTGGGGGTGCGGTGAAGGACGCGGAATGGTCCGTCGTAGGCTGGTGTCAAAGGTGGTCTGACCGCGTCGTGGCGCACGAAAACATGTGTTGCAGTGGCCAGATCAGGGTGGACGAATATGGTCTGGTGTTCGGAAGGTCTGGGTGGAGTGGGCCGGAGGTCTTGAACGCAGTCGAGCAGGCGTTGTAGGAATTGCTGTGGCTGGTCTGGTAGCTTCGTTGACGTGAAGAAGTCTCCCGGAAGCCGTAGAGAAGTGCCATACACCAGCTCTGCTGTTGAGCACTGCAGGTCTGCCCGGATGACAGCTCGTAAACCTAAGAGCACCAGTGGCAAGGCATCAACCCAGGTGGCTCTATTGAGGTGGGTAGTCAAGGCGGTCTTCAGTTGTCGGTGAAGGCGTTCCACCATGCCGTTGGCGCAGGGATGATAAGCCGTGGTACGGCAATGTCTGGCTCCGAGGATGCGATTAAGGCAACTAAACAGCGAGGACTCAAACTGACGTCCACGGTCTGTTGTCACGGTGCCAGGAAAGCTAAAACGGGATGCCCACGTAGAAATGAAAACGCGGGCAACTGTCTCGGCTGTGATATCTTGAATTGGAACAGCCTCTGGCCAGCGTGTGAAGCGATCGACCATGGTCAATATATAACGGTACCCCTGAGACACTGGTAGAGGGCCCACAATGTCTAGATGAACATGGTCGAAACGACGGCCGGGTGGAAGGAAAGGTTGGGGCGGCGTCTTAGTATGGCGGGAGACCTTTGTCATCTGGCAGGGCAAGCACATGCGCGTCCAAGCGCGCACATCACCGTTGATTCCGGGCCAGACATAGCGCTGGGTGAGAAGACGCTGAGTAGCCCGAATTCCAGGGTGACAGATGTCGTGTAAGGAGTGGAAAACGGTGCGTCGTAATGACGCGGGAACGAAAGGGCGGGAAGGTCAGCTGAGACATCGCACCACAAGCGCTCAGATGATAATGGATGAGGCACCAGGCGTAGTCGGAGAGAACGGGGTTCTCCCGAAAGGCGGCAAGCTCTCTATCATCCTGCTGTGCCGAGGAGAATGAGGCCCAGTCGATAGTTGGCGGTGGAGAGTCAACCGCGGCTATACGAGAAAGGGCATCTGCGGCGGTGTTGTCAGCTCCTTTCACGTGGCGGATGTCAGTCGTGAACTCCGATATGTAAGCCAGATGGCGGAGTTCACGGGGCACGTACTTGGATGAGTTAGTGCGGAAAACATACGACAGTGGCTTATGGTCAGTCAGCACGTAAAACGAGCATCCTTTCAGGAAATGCCGAAAGTGCTGTATTGCAGCGTAGATGGCTAGTAATTCCCGGCCAAAGACGCTGTAGCGGGTCTCAGCAGGAAGTAGCTTCCGAGAGTGAAACGACAAGGGTCTCCACTCGGAGGTAATGCACTGCTGTAAGACGGCTCCGACGGCCACGCTGGATGCGTCCACCATCAACCGAGTAGGGGCGTTGCTGCGTCGATGAATGAGAAGCACGGCGTTAGCGACCGCTTGCTTAGCAGCAGCAAAGGCGGCCTGGGCCTTTGACGACCAAGGAATGGCGGAGGACGGGCCGGCGGTCGACCGAAGGAGGTCGGTGAGCGGTCGTAGCAGTTCGGCACAGTATGGTATGAAGCGCCTGGAAAAATTCACAAGCCCCAAGAATTGGCGTAATTGGCGCAGTGTTGTAGGCTGAGGATAATCCTGAATTGCTTTAACGTGGGACCGGAGAGGGCGTATTCCTTTGGATGATATGTGATGGCCCAAGAACTCGAGCTCAGATGCGCCGAAAGTACACTTAGAGGCGTTCACAACGAGGCCGTACCGCTGAAGACGTTGGAACAGAGCGCGTAGATGGTGCTCATGATCTTCAGGTGTGCGGCTGGCAATAAGGACATCGTCAAGGTACGCAAACACAGTAGGAAGACCCCGTGTGACCTCAGAAATGAACCGCTGGAAAGTTTGAGCCGAATTACGGAGTCCAAAAGGCATCCGCACGTATTCAAACAACCCAAAGGGCGTCGTGATGGCGGTCTTAGGTATGTCGGCGGGCTCGACAGGAATCTGGTGGTACGCCTTAACAAGGTCCACTTTGCTGAAAATTGTGCAGCCGTCGAGGCGCGATGTAAAATCCTGGATGTGAGGTAGAGGATAGCTGTCGTGGACAGTCTTGGCGTTCAACGCTCGATAGTCCCCACAAGGACGCCAGTAACCAGGATCACGCTTTGGCACCAAATGCAGCGGGGAAGCCCAAGCGCTTGACGACGGGCGGATAATGCCGAGCTGCAGCTAGTGGTCAAACTCCCGTTTAGCAATAGCTAGGCGATCTCCTAACAGGCGGCGTGGTCGAGCGGCTGCCGGTGGACCCCGGGTGACGATGTGGTGTGTCACCGTATGTTTAGGCGGCTGAGTGAGGTTTCACGGTTTAGTTAACTCCGGGAAACTCGCCAAGATTTTTTCGAACGGTGAGGAAAGTATCAGCATGCGGATGGCCATTGGAGCGATGTCGGGCAGGACTCCCGAGATGCACAGACGAGTCTTACCATCTATGAGGCGGCGCCGCCGCACGCTGACGTCCAAATCGAAGTATGAGAGGAAGTACGAGCCGATGATCGGTTGAACCACGTCTGCGATGACGAAAACCCACCGGAAAATGCAACGAAGGCCGAAGTCGAAGGTGAGAGAGCGAAGCCCATACGTTGCTATAGACGAGGCGTTGGCAGCACGAAGCAATTGCCCTTGTGACTTTGAACGATCAGCCTTAGTCGGGGGCACAACGCTAATTTCCGCGCCCGTATCTATAAGGAACCTGGCGCCCGATAGCTGGTCCGTGACCATGAAAAGGCGGCTGGGACGAGAAGGGAGATCACACGCCGCCGTCAGTGATCTCGGCAGGCGTTTCCCTGCCACGAACATGGGGGTGTACACTTCGTGGCTCGGTGTCGGAAACGCCGGTGGTACCAGCAGAGGGGTGGAGGGCTGGGACTCCGAGCATCTCGTGTGCGTGGAAGAGCTCGACGACCGGAAGGAGGCGAACGAGTCTCCTCCTGCAGGGGGCTCCGGAGTGCGGCAATGGAGGCGGCGAGTTCGTCAATGCGGGCCTCAAGGCGCGAAATCACTGTGTCTGCTGGTGGTAAGACAGCGTTGACAGATGGGGAGGTCGCTTCATGAACCTGATCGGCGAGCTCCGCCAGGCGGTCGAGATTGACGTCGCCGGCCGCCACGAGGACGAGGCGGATTGGCTGAGAAAGGCGTTGGAGGAACAGCTCGCGAAGCAACGCTGAGTGGGCCGAGACGTCATGTTTCCCAAGAAGCTGTCGCATTCGGCGCAGTAGTTGGGAGGGGCGCCTGTCGCCAAGGTCCCCCTCTGCAAGGAGCTGCTCTAGGCGGACGCGTTCCGAAGGCATGAATCGTTCCAGCACCTTGGTTTTAAGGTGCTGATATGGCGTAGTGTCCGAGGGGTTGGAGAGGACGTCGGAGAGCTCGCTGGCAACGTCAGGAGTAAGGACGGAGGCTACGTGGTAGTAGCGTGTCGTTTCCGAGGCGATGCGGTACAGGGAGAATTGCGCCTCGACCTGATGAAAACAAACTTGCGGGTCCTGAGGCCAGAAATATGGGAGACGCAGTTGCACGGCCGAGACGTCCTGCGGACGTGAGGCTTGTTCGGTTGAGGGTGCATTCGAGTCAGTCATTGTCTTCGTCCGAGGTCACCACTTGTGGGCTTATGCCACAGGAGCGAAAGAAAGACACGCCTGAACGATAACCGATGCCAGCCAGGAACGTGAGCCGTGGCTTCACGTGCCACGGCCTAGCGCCTTCTTTATTTTCCTCTGTCGCCATCGCGCGCTCTCCGGCTTGCGCGCCGCCCGAACGAGGGTGGTACATATATATATATATATATATATATATATATATATATATATATATATAATCGTCTCAAAACTTCAATAAATGTTAAATGTCTTAAAACGAGACCAGTTATGCAGCTCATGCTTGTATGTGTTAAACCAAATGTGGCGACGTCAGCCAAGTAGAATATGACCCGACGTAGTTTCACCACATCAACCATGTTGTGTGCCTCACTGGCGCGCTCATAGGCGGAAAGGCACTCTTTCACGTCAGCCCCACCAGTTGTACTGTAGGTATACAGGTGACATGACATCGCAGGAATGCATTGGTGGTGTATTATTTGAAATGTTGTTTATTGCAGTAGTTAAAGCAGTTCGCAATGTTAAGTTGCGAAGTTCTAGATTGAGGTAAGGATTATTACAAGCTTCACTACATCACGTATGACGATTTATTGTACATATCTAATTACTTGCACAGTCGAAGTATGTACTGCGCAGCATGAACGCTGATCATACATAGAGCATTATACGCCCAGGAGTTTCTTCTGCCAGTGCTTCTGCCCGCGTTTTTTCAAGAACACATACATTTTCTTCTACAATATTGTTCTTGCTCGTACGACTAATGAGAAATTCATCTTCTCGTTGCAGAGCTTCGTCCAAACAACAAATCAAGGGCACGAAGTCCTAGAAGATCAAGCCCAGGACGGAAGCAGCTCCTTCTTGGAAAGCGCCATTGTCACCGACAAAGCAAATGAGCATGTGCCCACTTTTGTCATGGTCATGTTTCTGAATTCTATGCCGTACTTCCAGGAAGCATTCTTTGGCACTTTGAAAAGTCATAATGCTAGGTTTCGAAACATGTCCTCGCACAGGCATTTTTGGGCTCTTCAGTAGAGCCCTAGCGGCCTAGATGCCAGCAACACAATAGAATAAATTCTATGTTTTTGTGATTTAAGAAATAACCTGAATGCCTCATTTCATGACTTCTTCACTGTACTTTACTCTTGTATAGTGAGCCCCACCAAATGTCTTTCGTCTACGCATCACACCGCGTTGTCTACTTTCATTGGAGAAAAACATCTGACGCAAGAAAGGCAATCCGCGAGAAGACAAATCCTGTCACAGAAAACATGTTTTATGGGAGGCTCCTTCAAGACAGGGCTGCAGTGGTTTATGAAACAGAATTGACGTCATAGGAACAACACTTAAGTAGTTCTGGCTAATATTATGAAGCATATAGCAACTCGTTTATGACGAAGGGCACTTTTCACAAATAGATTTCGTTATGAACCTCAGCGTTTGACAAAGAGAATATTTAATTTCTGATAACGCAATGTTGAATAACAAGAAAATTAGAAAGTACAACCTTTATCAATAGTACTCGTTTAGTTATTTATTGTGGCAGGACAAGCTATAGGGATTTATGATATTGTTATGCTTGGCGTTCTGCGCAATGACATACTTCATATCTAATCAAGCTTCTTGCACACACGCAGAATTTATAAAGGATCAGCCACTGCCACGCAGTCCCTACCGATGCCGCATAAGTACGAAATTGTTCATAAGCGATGACTTTAGGTATGTGACGTTGTTTGTGCTCTTACTGCATGTATTATTTTTCCCTGTTTTCTTACAGCTGTAAATTTTGAACTTTCATATTCCTTTCTCCAGTATTGTGCTACACGCCGGCCAATCTACACTTGCTTATCTCACTGATTTTCTCCGTCCGGCTGCTTGCTTGCTTCCTTCTTTCCAAAAGCAAAATATATTACACGTGTTTACGCCTTTTCAAGACATTGAGCCATGGGTGCAATTATAAAATACTAAGGCAATATGACAGGAATAAAATGAGTGTCACACATCTTTTGCAATCGAAAGGTTCATGTTCTTGTGTTTTACAGTATTACAAGGTAACTAGTGGTCGAAGAAAGTTTACTTAGCTGTGCCTCTAAATACCTATAAAACATTGCGTCATCAACATCTTGTTATTTTGCCACGATTTTTCCATCATTGCTTTGAAACCAATCACATGTCAACATGTGTTTTTGTTATTTGTTATCCGTAGAAAGCATTACTACGTACACCCCAACGGAAAATCAATGAATAAGTGCTCAAGAAATATTCTAGAGGAAGACGATGCAGTCAAGCAATGGACTCTCGCAGCGGTGAAATATGTTTCTTTGAAATAAAGACCAAACAGTGATTGAATTAATAAAAAATGACCCTTCCGTATAATGATCTATAATAAATTTTATTTTCGCTTTGTGGTATTGAATAAGTAAAGCTTGACATGTGGGTTCCTGTGAGTGCAAAATACGAGTGTACGAGTATTGCGTCATCAAAAACGGACACCTCTGTAACGTAAAGCGCCGTATCTCTGGAGTGCGTTTTTTTTTTAATGCGAAGCATTTCTTAGCAAACTTCGGCGGTTTTAAGCATACTTATCTATTTATATAGCCGCCTACGACACTTAGCTCTCCTAGCCATTTTGATAATGGTATCGATACCAAAATTGGTATGGCACAACACGATCGACTGTATGGCGACCATATATGACAAGCCAGAACATGAATTTATGATATGTATGTCATAAATATCATGATTTACATTTCATGGTCTTGCTGTTCTAGAGGTGGTTTCGTTAACTATACATGTTGTAAAAATGGTATGGTATGATATGACTGCATGGGGAACACAAGTGATTGACCTTAACCTGGAAATTATGAGATTCCTGCCATGTAACAACATGACTACATGCCACGCTCATGATGTGCTCGCGGTCGTTTCGCTAGCTTTACGTATACCAAATTTAATATTACGAGACGTGAATGGATGACGAAGGTATGTGACTGGTGAAAGCATGACATTCGTGATATGTGTGTCATGTAACAACATGACTACAAGCCATGGTCATGATGCACTCCTGACCATTTCACTAGCTTATTATGACAAATTTGGTATTACCGGACGTGAATGGATGACGAAGGTATGTGACTGGTGCAAACATGATAACCGTGAGATGCGAATCATGTAACAACATGACTTCATGCCACGCTCATGATGCGCTTGCGGCCGTTTCGTTAGCTTCACATATACCAAATTCGGTATTACGTGACGTGAACGGACAAAGGTAACTGCCACGGCCAAACATGATAATCATGACGTGTCATGTAAAGCATTACTACATTTCCCAATCATGATGCGCTCATGGTCATTGCGTTAGCTTCACATACACCATTTTCAATGCTACGTGGCGCCATTCGATGACCCAGGTGCAGGACTGATGCAAGCGTGATAATCATGACACGCGTGCCATGTAAGAACATAATATGCCACGCTCATGATGCGCTCGCGCCTCTTGCACTAGCTTCACATATACCAAATTTGGTGTTACGTAACGTGAATGGACGTTGAAGGTAAATGATATGGCCAAACATGACAATCTTGGCATGCCTGTTATGTAAAACATGGCTACATGCTACGCTCATAGCGTGCTCGCAGCCGTTTCACTAGTTCCATATAAGCCAAATTTGGTGTTACGTGACCTGAATGAACGATGATTGTAAATGACATGTGCAAACATGATAATCATGATAAGCGTGTCATGCAAAACATGACAACATACCGCGCGCGTGAGGCCCTGGCGGCCGTTTCACTATCTACAATTATACCTAATTTAGTATTACTTGACGTGAATAAATGAAAAAGGTAAATGACATGTCGAAAATTATGATCACGACATGGAAGTCATGTACGGCATATTTTACCTTCGCCTCGTTATGGTAAACGTACTGATTTTAATGTGACACATTAACCTTCCTCATTCGTGCTTCCATTTCATCAATTCCCACTGTACGTGGGATCTGCCAATTTTTTTGTTGGCATTAGCAGTTTCCTCTATACAAGAACAAGGCACCTAACACTCAAATTTATACTCGTTTTGAAGATTTTGCTTTAGCATTTTCGTTACAGTATTTTGTAAAAGTCACTCACAGATCCAGTTTCTATAGGCATTGCCCAAACCTATTTTTTGGACAATTTTGAAGAAGCAAAAAAAAAGGCATGTTAACCGACTTACAACTTCTCAGCGCAAAGTGGACGTGGCCACTCATCCTTGGGAAGTTTCCAGAGTACCCAGTGTGATTTGAAGTGAGATCAGCTGCTTGGACACACAGCTGCAGAATGTGTAGCAACGCATGGCAATAAACTATGCCGTCGCAAGTGGCCCCCTAATAATGATTTTCAAGAACACATCATGAATGCTACGGAAGTAGACGATGCAACTGGAGATCTTCCATGTGCTGTAATCGCTGAACTTTGTGCCGCTGACAAAGAAGGTAACGACTGTGCTGAGGCGAAGAAATCCGAGCAAGCATCGAGAGAAGTCAGTGCGACAGACAGCAGTGAAAATCAGGTGGTTCCTGAATATGGGTCTGCGGACACTTGGAAAGAAAACCTTGGCAGTAATGCTTATGTACAAGTACCACGTTAGATAACTACTAACGATGTGCGTCTATCCTCCGACACTTTCATAAGTAAACGCCCAGCATCAACAAACCCGTGAGACCAGCGAAGAAAGCACCTCGGCGGTCTGCCCTCATCAGCCATGTCGTCGGTAACAATAAAAGCCTGCAGGAAACTGCAGACGCTCAACATCACGGAGGTCGGGTACTGGTGACGGTGAGCATTCACTCAGCCCTTCTTCGCCACACCAGCGTATGCAAGTCTGATAACACTTTAGATGCCATGGATATAACCAGAAAGTCACTTTTGCAACAGGCAACGTGTGTGGACTTCGTTCGATCCAAGCAGAAGGAGCTGCCACTCCACTGGTTGCTGGTCAGCTGACATCTTAATTTCGTCGCCCTTTGAGACACGCATATCGAGAGGGAAGTGGATACAGAAAGGACGCTACGGCCACGCCTCTCTGTTTTGGCGTACTTGTATAACACGCTATCGGCCTTTTGGCGGGCGACCTTCTGTTTCCCAGGAAGAGTTTACCGTATTTATTCTTCAATATCATATAGCCCTGACGAAGTGCTATAGCTGATACAATGTGATTTTATTGTATGGTTTGCCTTGACACCTGATCACCTTATATGCGTCTGGCGATGGACCATGGCGCTACAAGTTCTTTGAAAGTTTGGCTACCTTATTAGGTCCCGATGGTAACAGTGTGCTCGTGGTCGATTCCAACTGTCTGTAATACATTCGATCATACCGCGCTTAGCCACTGTGGCAGGAGTGCTGAAGTAATCTCACTTGTAGTGGAAAATGTGGGGCTAGTTATCAGAATACTATACAGGCTACACTTGTATACGCATACAAAAAGCAGTATACATACATGAATTGTTCCGGTATCGTTTCAGCAACAGTTTTTTTTTCTTGTTTCCGGCGGCGTGTCATGCAAAATTGAACCTATTTCTATCTCAGATTGCATCAACATTCCAGCTAAACCTGCGCTCGAAACTTCGTAAAAATCCTCTATTTTGGTGTCATGTTGGGAATGAACCAGGAATATGTGATTTCGTGGGGTAGCAAACTAAAATAACAACCAGGTATCACACTATACAAATTGCCTAACGAGTGGGCCGTTCAGCGCTTCCAAACCATCACAAAGCGCTCAGCCATAATTTTTCAACAGACACCTCATCAAAGCGCACATAATTCCTTGCAAAGGCGCAGCAGTTCCCTCACTTCTCTGGAGAATAAAGAATAATAGGGTAATAAATGCTCCTTCGACAAAAATATTATTTATGGTCTAGTACGCACCTTGCAAGCTTACTAGTATAAGTAGTCGTAAGTGAGTTTACAGCGGGTTCTGCAAACGCCGCTTTTCTAGCTATGATGTGACTGTGCTGAACTTTCCACATGAACATGGAGTCTTCAAATGCGAAGCATTTTCGTGCATATTGCAGACACTTTGACTATCTATCTATCTATCTATCTATCTATCTATCTATCTATC